CACTCACTCTCACTCACTCTCACTCACTCTCACTCACTCTCACTCACCCTCACTCACTCTCACTCACTCTCACTCACTCTGCACCTGCAGATCGAGGGTCACAGAGCGCTGTGCCTGCCACGAAATCTGCAAACGAGTCACATGTCCAAAAGTCACGATTCACTGCACCTGTCACGAGATCCATCCTCTCTTGGTTGTTCTGCTCAGCAACGAATGCTGAAACGGCAATTTTGCGCTCCGCACCACCGCGCTCTGCCTCAAAGACACGGTCTCGAAGCTCTAGGATTTCCTGATCATCTTTGCCCTCGAAGTTGATGTTTCTTTTCGTCAAAGACCTTTTGGCTCGTGTGACCTTGCGTGGGGGCCCTCGTTTGTCCCATCTTTTCGAGTGGCTGCGTTTCGCCGTCGCCGTCATTTCTGTCCTCATGTCGCTGTCCTCATGCCGCTGTCCACAGATCTGGATCTGGATCTTTCACAAGCCGAACCAGGCGGACTCTCAACACCCCCCGACGAAGAGGCAAGTTCTGAGAGCCGCTCCGCAGTCAAGGGGGCTCGCGTCTCCTTGGGCGAGTCCTGTTTGGACAGGGACATGGGCGGCACAAATCTGAACGCAAGAAAAGTCGCAGGTCGAGCCAAAGCTTGCTCAAACGACGCAGGCAAACTGAGTTTGACATCAAGGCCATTGAAAATCGGACACAAGTAATCAAACTAAAGGTGCTCAACTTCATCTCAACTTCAGCTCCATGTGCCACAAAACCACACAGCATCTGAGGGCCTGACTCTCCATCCCAGAAAGATCGGCGCCATGGAATCTTTGTTTTCTTGAAAGAAAGGGTCAGCGCAAGATCCTCTTATATAGATGATCAACCGACCCCAACGACATGATTTGTTTAAAGGATACACACATATACATATCCAAAGATCCCACTTAACTTGAACCACCATGAACCACCCAGTCTGAAACATTTGAGAAAGGTGTCTCCAAAAAGAAGTCTAAATGGTGAAACGATGTGACAAGAAAAGAAGAGTTGGGATTGAATTCTTTACTATTGTATGGCAGTGCTTTCTCTGTGCCATGTCAGTGGTTCTTCAAGCTTCGTGTGCACATATAGCCTAGCCCGCACGTAAGCTTAATTGCTAGCCAATAATTGCAGTTCATGATGAGGCCACTTCACGGATACTTGTACCGATCAAGAACCGGAAGGATTCAAAAGGCTATACGGCGCAGGCGCAGGAGATCATTGATCCGCACATCCTTCTGAAACACCTCGTTGAACGAACCCGGATCTCCATTTCTGTCGTATTGCACCACAAGCTGGATATGTTGATAACCCCGCATCGGATTCACACATTCCTGTGGCCATCTATGGGGATGCAGCCAAGTTGAGCACCGCAGGAGGTAAAATGGTGGGGAATTCCTCAGCCTTCCATTGTGGCGAACCACGTTCATCCCGTTGTTCCCGCTGGTGTTTATGGGCGTGTCAAGAACACCTGTTCTTCAAACACCACACGGTCAATCGTGTGTATCGACGATTGACCTGGTCTCTCTCTCTCTCGCGTTCCGAGGTGTGGGGGGGGGGGCCACTCCTTCGCACTCACTGAGTATAAGGCGCCTGTCCTTCACGAAATCTGAGCTCCTCAACGATCATCACCAGGTCCAAAGTGCTGCACCTGCCACGAAAACTGCATTTCGAAGTAAAACAGCTCCGATCCCTTGCACCTGTCACGAAAAGTCGACTTTGGAGCACCAAAACACGAGGTTTTCCTTGCGCCTGCCACGAAAAGTGACCACCATGTACCAAAATGCGCACGGCACCACAACGAGAGCGCAGTCGCCACAAGCACCCGCCTCAGCCACCCAGATTCTGCGAGCCTGCGCAGTCGAAATGCACATTGACGATGTATGCCACTGTAAATAGCAATGAATTAGCCGTTCACGCCGGCGCGCTTCAGCTACACTGTTTGGGGGAAAACGTTGTGTTTTTCACAAACGTGTCACAGTCTTAAGTAAACCCGTCGGGATATATTTACACAATTACCACAGTTCTTAGACGAACCGCCTTCCATTTAAAAATCAGATCGAACCAACCATGCAGGAGCAGCGCTACCAAATCAACATCGCTCCTGACCGAAGCACACAGACTACCAGGAACTTGTACTGCCCAAGGTTCAATATTTTTTCTAAACATTTGCTGGGTGCTGGGCTTGTCAGCTGCTTTGGCTGCAGGGTTTGCCATTTCACAGGCTGTTGCCTGCGTGGCCGAGAAACTGTTGTCAAAATGTCGAGGAAAGCAACATGTCAATGGTGGCTTTAGGCAAGAAGGTCGAAAAACCTGTGAAACTGCCAAATGAATTCTGGGCAGCCGCTAAAAAATACCCCATGTCTTTTTCGCACATAGTCAGGAACTGGAAGCAGGCTTTGGTTGACAAAATGCTTGTACCTGTGCGGATGCTTCAGCATTTTCATCAGCTTCTTCTTCTTCTTCTTCCTCCAGTGCCTTTGGAAGTCCTGGCTGGTCCATACCCTCTGGGGAGGAGGGAGTGAAAATCGTTGATAAACTTGATCAGGTGTACGCTTTGGCAATGGTTCTTCCACTGCCTGCTTTTGAGGTCAATTTTTTCTCTTGAATGATGTAAACAAACTCTATTTGGTACGCTGTTTCCGCTCAGCTGGCGACCTCCACATTCTCTGGCTTCAGCTTAACAAATCTACCTTCCAAACTGACCTGCATGTAAGCAGAACAGAAGTGAGCTGCAAAAGGCAAGAACAGCACCAACTGCCTACCATGCAAACAGAGCCAAAAGCTGCAGAAGCGACCTGGTACTTCTGTTGGTCTTCCAAGTAACCTGGCAAACAAAATTAAAAAAAAGAAATGTCACTGGATGAGTGACATCACTAGACTCAAGGAACAACCCTGCAGTACAGAGCTCGATTGGTGAACATGGTTCTTGCTGCAAAAATCCCAGTCCATACTGCTGCGCAAACATGCCAATGGTCAACAAGCACGGAATTGTCAGAGTCACAGTGCGATGGAAGTCAGCGAGGATCTTTTGGTTTGTCTTTGACCCTGCTGTTTTCCTCTTCCAATCACTACTTCTGCGTGCAGGGTATTTCCACACGTCTCGTAATGTTTTCACTTCAATCTGCGCACTGTCGCTCTCAGTACCACAAACTTCAATGGGGTCTGACTCGGACCCTGACCAACTATGATACTGAGCCCATGGCGAACAATATTGGCACGTTTGCCATTGTTCTCTGGCTTGGAGACAAGGCCCTTAAGGATCACTTGACCTCATGACTGATGCAAAGCTCGTGGCTCATAGCAACTACGTTCTCAGGTTATCGCATCCTTCTCTTAGAAGAAATGATGGACCTTCCATAGCTTTTGGCTCAGTCTGCTCCTGATCAGAGGTTAAGTCACGAGGTCAAGCGAGGAGCAAACGAGGAAGCCTTCGTTGGGGCCGTGCGGACTTCAGCCTCCTCTGCCTGTCTCCTGGTAGCTGCTAGACTTGCAGCAAACTAGAATCGTGGCTGAAAACCGTCTTTAAACATAATGAAAACTATAGTCAATGGATGTCGATGGTCAAACATTGTGACAAACATGGGTTTTCCCAAATTGCCATCCTGATCGCCGCAGCAACTTCTGGATCAAGCTTGCCAGGCTTTATGGCTGCCTGCTTGCCAACATTGAGAAACTGTTGCCAACTCTGCATATCTTGGGACTCCACTTGTTCCAGTAGTGACGTCTCTGAAGTTCTCTTCATTGAAAGATGGCGCGGGACCTTCACACAGAAAACGACACAAAGGAAGAACAATACAATTCCGAAGCTGCTTGAAACGAGCAACGTACCTGTGGCAGAGCTTCCGAGACTGGCTTTTCTTTTCTGCACAAAGAGGCAATGACCTGGCAAGTCCAATCAGCATACCTTCTTTGATCTGGAAATGGTGTCTGACTCAGAATGTTCACCCCTCCCGAACACTGAAAGATCCACTGGCCTTCCGGCCCATAAAGTAACTCTTTTGCATCAACGAAGCAAGCTTCATGGCGTCCTGGAGCAAGTTGGGATGCAACAAATGATACATCGTGAAGCTTGGCTCCTTGGTTGGAGGCCATCACTACTAGGGTGGAGGCAATCGCTATTAGTTGGCGATCCTGGGCTCCTTTGCACCAAATCAGTGCTGATCCTTCGGAAGGCTCCACCTTTCAGCGAAACAAAGAGAACAACACCAGGTTTTGGCAACAAACACCAAGTAATCTACTAGGAGCAAGAAGCTACTAGTAACAAGGGCATCGCTACTAGGAGCAACAACGCATCTAGGGGCTCCTGCCCTTATTACTAGGAGCATTCTTGCTACATCTTGCTACTAATGACAAACACCCAACGCTCCAAGGCTATTTGGACACCTTAACAAAAGGCTCTTTGATGTGCTCGGCAACATGCTTCCTGATCACATCCTGAATCTCGATGAACCATGACATTGGAGTCGATGCAGTGTACCTTGGAATACTACGTCTGATCTCTTACATTTTGATTTGCTCATCTAAGTGACAAACTCCCATAAATTTGCAATTTCAACACAAGGAGACTTCTTCGCCCGATCCTGCAAGACATATTTGACACCAAAGAAAATCACAACTGCTCAAAATGGCCATGTAGGGCCTATCTCCAAGTGTAGTGTGCGGTGTCCTTCACATTGAAACCTTCTTTCTGCCACACAGCTGCCTTCAAAGCTGCAATGAACTCTTGCACTCTCGGCAAAACTATCCGGCCTCACATCGAATGCGCCAATTCCGATACCCAAGCCTTAGCAGGATATTCTGAGTGCAACCCCACTAGACATCGTACAAATGTCAGATGAGCCCCGCGTGTTTTACCACATATTGGATGCAAGCTCCAAGGTGATGATTGCGAGTGCTCTGACAAATTACAACAGAATACAGGATGCTAACATCATCAATAATTCATACGCACACTGAATCGGTTTCGGACACTCGCACCCTTCCGTCTAGGTCACGACAAGCCTCTCCGGTTTCCACAATAACGCATCAAAAAGTTCAATGATTAAAAAAGCAACGCAAGTGCCTCGTAGACTGGATCCTCAGATCGAAACAGCGATGGTTTGCAAAAACAGTTCCCAAAACTGTGTGGTCACTCCACTTCTGAAAAGGCCCCAGCTCCAGCATCATGAGTTCCAGTGAACTTGCTGGTGTGGTATACGACAAGCGCCTCGCCCTTGAAGTTCTTCGTTTCCAATATGCCCTGGAGAGAAGCAGCTGCGCCACAAGAAGTGGAGTGAGACTGAGATGAAAAAGCATCACAAGAATAGACGCAAGTAGAAGTGTAAACACGAGGCACATGCATCAAAACAATTTTATAGTATTATAGTATAACAGTATAACTCTGTCAACATGTTTGGCCTGTCAACATGTTTGGCAAAGTTGCGCGTTTTAACATGCAAAAGGAATGCGGCCTGAATCTTGATTTCGTGGCAGGCATTGAGTTAGGAATACAATGTGCAGTTTTCGCGGTGCGGGAGGGGAATGGAGGGAGGGCGCAGCTCTTCCCCAAATGCATTCAAACAACTAGTGATGAAATGGTAGATGTCTACGGGTCTTCAAATGCAACAGTTCACAGGGTAGGAGAATATCTGGGGTTTTGTCAAGGTCTGAGCATTCACAAACTATTTTTCCTATACTATGAAGCAAACTTGAGGGTTGAACTCTGTAAAAGACTGCAAAACATGGTGCTACAACATGCGGAAAGCTGGAACAAAGCTGTTGTAAGTAAATATAGCAAAGCTCTGAGTGCACCAAGATAGGACAGAAAGGAAACATACGGGTAGCAAATCAACTTATAATCATCCTGGAGTAGATAGAATGGACGAATTTTCAAAAAAAACAATTCACTCCTCAAAACCGGCCCTTCCAAACCCCATAGATAGAATATGGTTGTAGGGGCTTCTCTTCCTTTTCCTTTGTTGTCCTTTTCCTTCTCTGGTCGTTCTATTCCCTGTTCGTTCTAAAGAAAAGAAAAAAGGAAAGGAAAGCTTAGATAATACACATAGGAACACAACATGAGAATAACAAAGGAGTAAATACCAGAATGGGAGGAGTTGATAAGAATCGTATCACTATATTCTATCTTTGGGGTCAGTCTTCATAAAATGAAATTGAAAGGGATGTCAAAAACCCTGAGTTTTTTCAAAAAGAAAAACACCCCCTACGAAAGTAGATTCTATCTACTCCAGGATGATTATATTCGTTCCGAGTTGGTACAGGTCTTGACCACTCTTGAAAGCCTCATCCATGTACAGCTCAATTTTCTTGATCTTCCCATACCTTGGCATACATTCGCTTCACATCACACAGAACTTCACACATACCTATATATAAATTAAAAAAATCGAACGATTTGATTCACTAACTCTGAGTCAAGGTCTGCCCAAAGAGGTCTCCAAGAGCAAAATGCAAAGCTTCATCACCTTGGACACAGCCGTGTGTTATGTAAATTTGTGCAGGCAAAGTTCAACCAGGGTTGCGTACCACCTTGGAAGTTCTTGGGGAGTTCGTTGACAAAAACAGCGGACGAGGATGTGTCGCCTTCAAGTCCGACTTTGTCAAAATGATGCCTTCCATCCTGAATGAAGCGTGTCCACACGCCAAATGCCTATTGGCCGCCCAACGGTGCTGGCATCTACAAGAATACCATTGCCTGCATGAAAGCATGACAAAAAGTACGACCGGCATGACATTCAAGCATTGGTTGCAAAGAAACAACATGTGCAAATTCACTTGCGTGCCTGGATTTGAGGCGTCCACCAAAGCCATGGGCTCCACTTTTCTACTGCCAATGGGGCATTCGATGCCTGATTACCCAAGTCAGGTTCACGTTGTTTCGGTTTGGTTATGGTGCACGTTTTGGTGTGCCCATAGCTCAAAAAAAAAACAAAACAAAAGCATACACAGCGCCATGAATATCAAACCTTTGTTTTTGCATGCTATGTCTAACTTTTCGAAAATAAGAATGTTCAACTATAACTAAGGATTTCGTCTTCGTGCGCAGCATTGCATGCGCAGGTAATTCGCCGTGTTGATGTCATGCGGCAACTTCTCATGGCCCATGCTGATGTGTTCTCTAGCGTCAAGCCCACACTAGAACAAATGAGTTGTAACACAAACACAAATCATCGCACGTTGGTCGAGCCGTCCATGAGCAAAAAAAGGTTTGTGCTGCGCAGCGGCGTTTCAAAACTTAAGACATTCTGGCAAAATGCATTTCACCATGAAACCTGCTCCCAGAAGCGTTTTTCGCCTTAATTTCGGATGTGAACGGGCAACAGTCAATCACAAACAAGGTTCACAATCACGGAATCAACTGTTGAAAGTTAGCCCACCTTCGCGGTGTCGACAGGAAACAGCTGCCAATGACAACTAAGGTTCCAGCAGCGAATTAACCATGCAGACTCGCAGGGGAACCCGAAACTAAACCCTGAATGCAGTGTTGCGCCGAGAATTGGGCAAAGCTGCCCTACATAAAGTGACATTTTGGAGCAGCGCTGCGATTCTCTACGTTGCAAACAAAAAATGCAATCGGAAAATTTCCAAAAATGCGACCCAAACATGTAAATTGCAAAACAAGGGCATTAAAATTGCCATTAAAGAATGCAAAATTGAAAATCAAAAAACATGTAAGCAGTGTAAAAACACAAAAACCATATAAGAAAATGTAAAATAGAAAGTGAAAAATGCGACTTCGAAATTACAGGCTTGAACAGTGTGAAAATGCGGCTTGAAATATTGATTACGGGTGCCAAAAGTCCAACGTTAAGAAGACAGTCGCACAAAAACAATTGCAAAAATATTTTTTCCAAGAAGTGGCCCGCTGGGCACGAACTGCAAATGTTTGTTCTCTTCAGTATGCCAGAAATCGGTTTTTGCAACATTTGTCTTGGAGTCTCAACTCAATGCATTTGTTTTCGACACTGGGGCAAGTCGGCCACCTCACGACGGTGGGTCAAGCTGAAACAAAAGCAGTGGTGGGACTCGGGCGGGCGCTTTGGATCAGCCACCACAACTTAGTGGGGCCCAACCCTCCCTGCGTAAAGTTAAAAGCCGCATCTTGAAAGCTGCAACCCCAAAGCTTTGGTTTCGATCCGCGCGCAGAACTTCACTGTCTGGAAACTCATGGGGGTTGCAGCTGTCTCAACTCAACTCACTTGCAACAAGACATGTGGACAGGCCCGAGTCAAGGTCGAAGTGCATGAGTCTGCACGCAACATCACCGGAAGCGGAACCCTTGTTTCCCTGCGCCCAGTTGATCCGTGTCGGTTTTCGCCAGAGAAGCGAAGAAGCTGACGGATCCGGACGCCTCGTTCCCGCTTCAGTGCAGCGTGGAGAAAGGCGAGGAACCAAGAAATGGTCGAACGAGGTCACTGTACTGGCTAATGTGAAGGCCTGAAGATGAGGCTGTTTTCCAAACAGTGCCGGTTGATCTGGCAAGGCTTTTGAGTTGGGGACTGCCCACAGATGCATCAACCTTTAGCAACGACCTTGAGCGAAAACCCAACCAACAGACATGCCAACATGCTCTCCAAGCATGCAGCCATCGAATTCAGAACCCCCCCCAGAAGGAGAGAGACACTCTTGTGCACATGCATCATGTCCCATCCAATTGGATGAGCGCTTCGGGTCAATGACTTGCATGTTTCCAGTGCACTGCCAACAATTGCATTTTGCGCAAGCAGATGTGCAGGGACTTGGACTGAAACGAGAGAGCGTGGTCATCCATGGCATGCTCCATTCAACACTCAGTTGCTTTGTCAAGAAACTGCAGGGTGATTGCTTGAAGACGACAATCAAAGGTTGCCGCAGCCGACAGCCTGCTCAATCCAATCAGGAGTGACTGAGACACCGCCGGGCGAACAGCCAGCCACAAAAGCTGTAGGGTCCAGCGGCTTTGTGTTATTGCAGTGGCGGTTGACCAGAGATGCAAGTTTTTCTCTGTCTGGCTGTTTTTTTCAGCTCTTCTTCTCCCAACGATCCGTTGGGCCGCTCATTCGCCAGTGGCAATCTGGACCGCTGTCCTTTGCTTGGAACAGCTCCAGACATCAGTCTGCATTCCATTCTAACAGGAAGACTGGCTTTGGCTTTGATAGGCTGAACGGCACTCTTCCATGTCTTTTAAACACGTTGGAGCCCCACAAGGCAATGATTTGCTAAAAGTCGGCGGTTTTCGGCAGCTTGCTACCACCTAGCACTGTCTTGAGGTTTGTCGTGCCCATCATGGTCAGCTGAGGTTCACTTTCCACCCAGCTTGGAAGCTTCAGGCAGGAGAAAGCTCTTGCAAAAAGTGTCACATCATGTGACTGACTGGCATTTTTTTGGCACGGGTGGAGACGCCATGTGTGCATGGTGCACAGGTCATCTTTGACTACGTTTGAATGAATCTCCTGGTGACAGAACAAATCAACAAGAACAGACACACAAAACCACAAAACAACACAACAACCAAAAAACTGGACCCCAAAACCACGAAAAAGAATGGAGATTCGCTTTGCACATGCAAGGTGAAACGTTGGTGAAACACATTGACTTCCTGTAGTTGGGCAACGAACTCAGGTATGAGCTTCGAAGTGAGTCGTTCTCCTTTGTACTCTCGTAGAAGAGAGGCAGTGGGCCTGAAGTGACAGGCCTGTGCATGAGCACTCATTGAAAGCAGTGCTCTAGGTGTCGATCAAAGCTCATCGGCAGTTAGGAAGCAGTGATAGCTACCTTATGCGAAAGCTGCTAGTTGGATCCACTAACACCGGTGATGCTGACCTGTTAGGCCGTGGAAAACAAGCGAAGCACACAACCCTGACGTGACAAGCGAAAGTGAGTGAAGCTGCCGCTGTGGCCCGCGCTCAGTGCACAGCAGGTGAGTGGTTGGTTGCGAATCCAAGCTGCTCGAATGGGTGCAGCCAGCGCGCTCCCTCAACAAGAGGGAGGCGCTGCAGCACGGCAGAGGCGTACTCCATTACAGCAAGCCTACAGGAGTAATCGTCATGTGCATACTTGTCAATGTAGGGTGCAGACATCTGATAGCAGGCTTTCAGTGGCCATGCAATGCCCTGGTGAAACCCAACTGCGGTGCCGTCTGTACTCTATATACAAGCCTAACAGAATGGGGCCCACCCTCAGGACAAGAACCAAGGTTCTCGCCTGAGGTCAAATTGCAGGGCATGTTACGCAGACTTAGGCACCTATCACGACGTTGGGCAGCAGCAATCGATGCTCCTGCTCAACTGAGCAGGGAGACTGAGCCCGCTCACCGTATTTGTTCTCTTGTACTCCCCTTGGTTCGGCTTCAGGCTATGGACTGGACCAGTTGGGATCATATCCTGGGTTCGGAATGAGGTTGATCCATACCGGCTTGGTGAATCTGGAGCATAGTTCGAAGGCTGTTTCCTCAGCACAAGGCCCCCGCCAAGTGGTCCGCTCGTCTGGCATTAATTCAAAACTTGTCAATGAGGTGCAATCGAAAAAGGCTTTGCTGGCAATATACAGAAGTGTTGGCGGGACTGCAATCTCTCGAAGTACAGCACAGCCCATAAAGGCTTTCACTTGGATGGTTTGCAGCGTCCTGGAAGCCAGATGTGTTGGAGACGTATGCACTCAGAGAACGTAAACTCCCGGATTTCAGGAATAGAAGTGCCAGCGAGATCGACAAATGCAAGGAGTTTGCAATTATCACAGGCATGAGAACCTAGCTGGTGAAATTCAGGCGGTAATCGAAGGTCACTCAGCCCTGATGAGCCAAAGCACCCTGCGGTACCTCTCGAAGCTGAGCAGGCGTTGATTGACCTGGTTCACTCACGGCTTGCATGAGCGTTACGTTGGCTTGATTGAGGCATGTCGAAAAGGTATGGGGCTATCTGGGTTGAGCCTACGAAGGTGCTGTCTCCTCTACTTGCTCTCACGTGCTGCAATGAACAGCAGTCGGCAAGACCAGTCCCGAAGACTACACATCCTGGTGCATCCACACTGTTAAGCAAGTGACATCCCCGCAAAGCGCATTCTTCAATGCGCACGACAGTTGCCGGCAGCTTGACGATTCGCAGCTGGCGACAGGTTTGCCAGACACGACAGTGCGCAGACCTTCCTCAACGAGGACATGTCGCAACCAAGGGACTGCACAGAAGGCACAAGCGGGGATAACCCCTGAGTCATTGACTGGAACTTTGATTGCCTTTGGGTGGTCAGGCATTCTCGAAAGACCAAATTGAAGCTTGTGTTGATTTGCAGGGCGTCTCATATTTGGTCTTGCAGGTACGCGTGCTTGGATGAACCAAGTCTACCTCACTCTCAAAGACATCCAACCTAGTGACCGTGGCTGGATAGTCAACTCCTCGAGGTCAGCAAAACGGTTATACTGCGCAATGTTCATGGGATAGACATCTCAGTACCCAGCCAAGGTGGTGAGCAGACGCTGACAGGTCACAGAGGCGTGTGCTGGGCCACGAGGCTGTATTGACCGCCATTGGAGTTGATTGACCCTATTCAAACTGGCGATTCTGCCCTAACCTTGTTCAAAAGGGTTTGAGCCAACGCTATCTGTTGGGCTGTTTGTCCATGCATCCTGTATCTTCACAGGCCCTGGGACAGCTTATCCAAGGGGGGAGCCGACCTTGAGGGTGCCACTGGGCTGGTCTTGTCATGTGACCTTTCAGTGCGATGCCTCCGGCCAGTCATATTGACTCTTTACCCTCCTTAG